TGATGTATGGTGATTAATATAACATAATAAAAAAAAAGGTTGATACTACAAGTCAAAATATCTAATAATCCAAATGCAAAGAGGCCAAAATGGCTGCCAGATAACTAGGAAAGGCTTGGTATCAGCCAATACAGGCAAGATTTCAGGTGAATTGGTTTGTGTAATCCTATCGTGTGTGTGTGTGTGTGTGTGTGATGAGAAAAAACAACATTAGAAATAAAATCTAAATATTTAGGATTCATTCCTAGGTCTACCTTTATGAGGTATATGACTTTGGGGGTATCATGTAACCTTTCAGAAGAGTTTCCTTTCCTCATTTAAAACAGGCATAATAAGACATGTCTTTGAAACCACAATCACAGACCATTGTGATGTGTCACTCAGGGACATAGGATATTTCTATAAGGACATCACTGTACGTTTTTTGAGTGAGAGATGGAACGGACAGTAGATTAGCTAGAGCGATTCGAGCGATTCAATGTATAGGTAACAACAGACCATCTCATTTTTGCCACAGTGTGAAGTCAGTGTTTCTGAGGTAGTAGTTAATCTCTCACATAAATGTAGTTTGTATGAATACTACATCAGAAAAGCATAGGACAATAACAAAATCCTTTGTACAGCATTATTTTTCCCCCTTCCCATGTTTTCTTCTTCTTTTTATTTGTTAATACATGAGCTTGTGTATAGGAACATATTTTATGTGCAGATATTTTCCTTCATGTGTTTGAAATAGGAGAAAGGTTAAAAGCTGCTGTTCTTTCTTTCCCAGATTTTATTTATTTATTTGAGAGAGAGAGAGCAGGAGCAGGGGGAGGAGGCAGAGGGAGAAGCAGACTTGCAGCTGAGTGGGGAGCCTGACTCAGGGCTCCATCCCGGGACCCTGAGATCATGACCTGAGCCAAAGGCAGTTGCTTAACCATCTGAGCCACCCAGGTGCTGTTCTAAAGACATAAAAAATTTAAAAGCAGTAATATGTAAGAAAACTCTGTGAAGCATGATACATGGTGTATTGCACTCTTATAATTTGATAAATTCCCAGAATCACTGACATGTTTCCTAGGAAGAAAAAGTAGAAAATTTAAAAAGATTTCTGTTCTAAATACAATAATTTTATAGTTTCTTTTTTTGTAAGGTAAACAGTACTGCTTTGTATGCTCTTCATATATCACATCCTATTTTTAAAGTTTTAGTTACAACACTCAATTTTGGTAATTTAAGATATTTTCCTTGGTAGTCATCCATCAACTCATTCCAAGTGCTTAAATTGGGAGACTGCATGTTTTCTTAGTGTCTGAGGATATTGTAAAAACACCTTCAATCAATATCTAGAATTTGATTCCTTTCTATGTAACATTTTAAAATAATTTGTTTATTTGGGGCTATATTATTCCCTGGAAACATTTTTGGAGCATACTCATGAAAATTAGGCTTCATTAAGATGAGCTGGGAAAACAACGAGACGCTAATGCTAGTAAAATCACTGTTCTTAGCCTGAACACTCTTTTTAAAGAAGTCTTTAAAAATTCACAGGAAGCTTGGAAATGCATTACTCCGCTTTCCAAAAGAGAAGATAATGGGGAATTCTTTGGTGAGGGTTTGGGGAGAGCAAATACAAAAGTACACCTTTGACATTGAGAAGTCTACAGTCGTGACTAGAGTTTTCTTCTTTTGACTTTTGTCACCAGTGGGAAATGAGAAAGGGAAATGAAAGCCTTTTCTTTGATTAGTCAGAGGATGCTCAAGGGAAGTGCTAACCGGTGAGGGAAGCTCCATACAGAGGTATTGAGGCCAGGCCAGACTGAGGCCCTTGAGACACCCAGGGTCACGTCCAGGTCCAGGAAAGCAGTTTATCTCAGAGGACCAGTCAACGTCTGTAAGACATTACATGTGTAAGAGCAAATCCCTAATGGAGATACCACTGATTTATAATAGTTTTTTAAAAGCTTGCAATATATAGTCCTCTTAAACAGTTTTCAAAATGTTATGTTTGGTGTTTTCAAAATAAAAATTGATCTCAGAAAGCAAATAACTATCCCAGATAACTGTGGTGGAGATCCCTACTGCCTGAACTTTTTATTCCTTTAAATGTTCATAAATCTTTTAAGGTTGATACTACAAGTTAAAATATCTAATATTCCAAGGTTAAGAATGATGGCAGTTCCTTTGCTTATAAAGCCAGAGAAAAACTATTTTGGTCAAATGGCAGCTTTGTTTTTATACCAAAACAAAAACATGCTCTGAACCCTGGGTCTGCTAAAGTTATAATCAGAATGCATTTTCAGTCATAAGACATTCACTTCAGCGAGTTGAGGGCAAGGGGAAGACCAGGATATATATTATATATTATATATATGCATAATACATAATATATATTAGACTTGTGACTACTTCAAAACCCTTTTTCTACTTTGATTGTTGCAGTGTGATGGAACAGATCTCACTCCAAAGATTCAGGAACTGAAGTTCCAGTGTATAGTATTTTTAAATATACCCAGGTAAGCTCTGTTCATCCTTTTTCTTTGGTTTGATGTGAACTCCGTTTGACTTGAGGTTATCGGGTTTCATTATAGAAAATGTCCAGGGTACAAACAGTGAAAGTAAGTTATCTTACTGGCTCATTAGGGGTTTCCAGGTCTGATCATTTTGTTCTCCTCCTCAGTTTGTTTAGTGTTCTGGGTGGTGGGTGGGTGGTTTTTATCCAATGTGGCGTGCGTGGTATACACTTATCCATCGTTAAGAAACCCAGGCACCCCTCTTTACTGGAACATTTTAATATAATTCTCATTTACTGATTCCCTCTCCCTCCCAAGAATAATAGACTTGAATAAATCCCTGTTCTCAGTTTCCCAAAAGCTGTTAGGAAACCATCCAACCTGATTGTAGCATGGAACTCATTCAAAATTGTTGCTAGATGATTGCTTTGAAAAAATAGGATCAATTAGAGTAGTGTTTTCTAGCCAGGATGTCAGCTCTCTTTGGTGCTATTATGTACCTCAGGAGAAAGGGATATTTAAGATTAACTAGACTCAAAATAAGCACATTATCTCAGTGGTACAAAATTAGAGTCTGGGCTCCCAAGCCAAGATTTTGGAGGGGATGAATCTATGACCCTTTGTTATTTGCAAACCACACGACTCAAGACACAAAATCTGCAGATAGGTTCTATTTAGACTGAATTTAATTGAAATGAGAATTGTATGTAAATCTATGGCTAGGAAAACATAGTCTCCTGATTACTTTTGGCAGTACTCAGTATAGTCACCTACAATCCTATTCCAGAAGGATTTTCATCTTCATTATTTCCATAAAAGACCTAGATTCTCAGGAAACATTATTTTCTCAGGAAACATTAGCTTCTTTAATTTTTTTCCTCTGTTTTTCTTCTTGCTCCCCATCTCTCCATTCCTCTTCCAATTTCCTTTACTTCTTCTTTTTCTTCATCTCTTATCTTTTCCTCATACCTTTCTCACTCTTCCTCAGCTACCTTTCTCTGCTTACCTTCCTGGTGGTTATTTATTATCTTAGTTATGCACATAATGACCACCGTGTACCCACCTCAGTTTCTTGGCCCTTTTCTGCTGGGATGCAGTGTCTTCCTCCAAGACCAAGTTCTGGAACCACCTATGGGTAACTCACGGCGTGTCATAGAAAACAGACATAATGGATCACTGAGTGAGAAATGTTAATAAATAATGAGTTAGGGGAGAGTTGGGCACCAAGAGACGCTTGTGTTATAAAATTGTGGCCCATTTTCACAGATGGGTATTTGGAAATGATAAGACCATTTTCTTTTCTATCAGAAGGTATGCACCAAGAATAGAAAACTGATCTTAGGTGAGATACATGTTGGATCTCACTGTAAGGTAATACCTTATGACAATTGTGAGAGCGATGGAATAAATTTAATTCTGTTTTTAATCTTATCTTGCAGATATTGTGCTGGCACAATGCCCTGGGGGAACCCAGGAGATCACCATGATTTTGAACCTCAGCGTCATGATGATGGTTATATTGAAGTCATTGGATTCACTATGGCATCTTTGGTGAGCAATGCAATATTTTATTGAAATGAAATACATTTTAGTTCCAGAGTTTATTCATCTCATAGATTTTTGGGTTTTGGCCTTTAATTTTCTCTCCTATTTTACCAATTTATAAACTTTATGCAGTATAGAATTGATTGGGGAAAATAAGAACAGAAGATAATTCTTTGTGTCACTCAGGAAATTGATGCATAATTGTTTGAATTTCAAAAATATTATTTGTTAATTTCCCTGATTAATTTTCTACCAGAACAAAATGCAACATTTTTATGGAAATTAAAGAGTATTATGCCCCAGAAATACCTCAGCATTAATGCAGAAACCTTGCCATTTGATACCTTTTTGTTTCACTGAGGACCTACCTTTGTTTAGGTAGAAAGGAAGGTGGTCATTTATATGCATCTTTATCTTGCCTACTTAAGAATGAGGTGGATATCTCCATTATCACAAAATACCTGAATAAAGAAAGACATCATTATTTTGACAATGATGAATATTCATTTGCTATAGCATTGAAATCACCTTTGCATTTTAATTTTGTTTGCTTGCATTAAATTGTGAATTATAGTGTAAGGGCAATTTCAAGCAGGTTTTTTTTAATTTTATTTTTATTTTTTATTATTTTGTTATATCACCATACATTACATCATTAGTTTTTGATGTAGTGTTCCATGATTCATTGTTTGCGTATAACACCCAGTGCTCCACGCAGAACGTGCCCTCTTTAATACCCATCACCCATCATCCTCCCACCCCCCTCCCCTCTAGAACCCTCAGTTTGTTTTTCAGAGTCCATCGTCTCTCATGGTTCGTCTCCCCCTCCGATTTCCCCCCCTTCATTTTTCCCCTCCTGCTATCTTCTTCTTTTTTTTTTCTTTAACATATAATGTATTACTTGGTTCAGAGGTACAGATCTGTGATTCAACAGTCTTGCACAATTCACAGCGCTCACCATAGCACATAGCCTCCCCAATGTCTATCACCCAGCCACTGCATCCTTCCCACCCCCCACCACTCCAGCAACCCTCAGTTTGTTTCCTGAGATTAAGAATTCCTCATATTAGTGAGATCAGATGATACATGT